GCACAAATAAATAAATCTTTAAAAAAAAAAATTTTACTCTTCCTTTTTTCCTTTTTCTCTTTGAAAATCTGTTCCAGAATTCCCAGCCACCTCAGCATCCTTGACATTCACTTTATTTTCTCAGCCTCTTAGCTAGACTGCTGCTTGGGTTCTGCTTTCTGGTTAGGTTTGTTTTGCCTCTAGGCAGATAGGTGGGACCACCCTAGGATTCACTTTGTTGTCCTTTTGCCATCAATACTTTCTTTGAAACAATATTCTTAAAAGATTTTATAGTTGAACTGTAACTATTTTAATGATAATTAAAATTTTTTTATAAAATTCAAATTTATTGATTAATACAGTTTTGATTCCTTTCAGGTTTCATATGGTTGTTTTAATGTGATAAAAGATTCAAACCTTCTGTATCACTTCAAGTCTTAAAAGGTCCATATTGAGCAGTGTTCATGTCAGTGTGAAGTGTGAATGTTTTTCCTGGTTTGTGACAATTGAGGCTGGAAGAAACTATTTGGTATCTGCACTTAAATTTGCACTCAAGTGTGTGGGTTTCTCAGAAGATAAAACCAATATGTAGTTTTTAATCTATACAGGATTGTTGTGTTCACTGTAGTATATTAACCCTTTTCAGACTAGATAAGAAATTCTCAGTACTTAAACTGTAAACCAAATAATAATCAGTGGTCCTCTTACCTATTTTCTAGGTAATTGTACTACCCAATATTGCAGCCATGGAGTCCATGCTTAATAAGTTGAAGAGCACTGTTACAAAAGTAACAGCTGATGTCACCAGTGCTGTAATGGGGAATCCTGTCACTAGAGAATTTGATGTTGGTCGACATATAGCCAGTGGTGGCAATGGGCTAGCTTGGAAGATTTTTAATGGCACAAAAAAGTCAACAAAGCAGGTAAGTATGAATTCAGACTCTACTGGGAAAAAACAGATATGCTATACCATAGTGTATATATGTATGTATTTTTATGGTTAATATGGAAAGTAATTGGTTCTTTACTTCTTACTTCATCTATAAAGTATTACAGTTATGTGCTTTTTAAAAAGGATTTATTTATGCATACAACAACTGGGGAGTAGGCCAGAGGTGTTGGGTGTTGTGGGTGGGGGGGGCAAGTGAAATAATTCACCAGAGACAGGCTGGAGAGCAGAACAGGGGGTTCTTCCGAAATACACTGATGAGAGTAGCAGCTGGCAAAACAGGAGAGGTCTGTGGCACAATGTGGATTAGCTCCCTGCCCCAGGATCAAACTCATGCCATAGTGGCTGGCTTAATATCTGACTTTTAACACCAGCACCACCAGGGAGACCCAAGCAAGATAACTTTTAAATATATATTAAATCTATCTCACAAGTTACAATCTCCATTTTGTTTTAGTAATTTTTGTATAAAAAGTTCTAATTTTGGGCTCTCCCTGGTGGCACAGTGGGTTAAAGCATAGCTTTATGAAGCTCTCTGAAGCCACTGTAGCATGAGTTTGATCCTTGGCCTGGGAGCTGACCCACATGGTGTGGCAGACTTCTCCTGACCTGCCTGTTGCTCCCCTCCGCAGTGTATTTCAATCAGTCTTCCTGTTCTGTTCCCCACTCTGTCTCTGGTGAATCCTCTCACCACCCCCAACCCCACACCTCTGGCCTGTACCTCAATCCTGTATGCATAAATAAATAAATCTTTTAAAAAAAAAAGTCCAAATTTTAAATAAAATTAGTAGTTCCTAAATATTAAATGGAAGTTAATTTGGATGATTGCTTAGATTACAAATCTCATCTTTCCTGTATGTTTGGAATTTTTCATATTGAAAAACTGAAAAATATTCAAGGTGATATTGAGAAGCTTCAGGAATTGCTTGTTTTTAGGGACCACTAGTAGGCAATAGTCTTCCAGGTATTGATGTGGTGGGAGATAGGGATCATAGTAAGCTTGTTTTATATCTACATAAAGATGACAGGAGTTTTACACAAGTGGTAGATGTTAGCAGAGTGGGTAGTAAAGTAGTCAAAAAAGATTAGAAACACACGATAGTATATGATGTTAAAATGTTCAGAGGTGCAGGTTAAGAGTTTTCTCTTAGGAAGTAAGAGGTCTAAAGGGTTAGTTAATTAGTTACAACTTTGTTAAAATTTGTTAATTTTGATCACTTAGTTGGAACAGTGGGAATATATTTTAAGGTTAGTGACAACCCAGTTTGATCTATGTAGGATTATATTCAATCTAAAATAATAATTGAATGTCTTGAGAGACAATTTTGTTTTATTTCTTGTTTATTAAATATGAACTTTATTTAAGAGTGGTCAAAGTGCAAGATCTCAGGGGCCATTTCATCTAACTTTTTTCAAAGACTTAAGCCATCTTGAAAAAATAAACACATTTAAATTAGATGCATTTATAAAATGTGTTACAGCATAACGCTTACTATAATAAGATTGTGCACATGGCTGATAAAATAAGAACTTGAACTTCTAGGTCATTTGTTTTTAGTTCAAATTAATACGACACTTAGCTCGGATTGTCCTGTATATCATAATTAACAAATGAGCTAAGATTATGTGTTTTATATCTGAATGTTATTTAAAACTCACACTCAAGTGAGGCTTTCCCTGAAGGCATTTTTCATGTTTTATAGGTACTGCATAATTTTTTTGCCCTAATGATATCTTGGATAAGAATTCGGCTGTTGTAATCTTGACTTCGTTCTACCAATTATGACATTTAGATAATATATTTATCATCTTCACTACACCCTCATTTGTGAAGTGAGGATAACTTGTCATAGAATTGCTATTAGGAATGGAATAGATCCTAAAAAAGTGCACAGATGCTTGGGGATGTTCAAATTGTGTTATCATTATTCCCTCTATGTAACCACTTTCCAGAGATTCTGAATTCCTTTTTACTTATGCATAAAGAGACTGCAATTATAAACAAGCTGTTTGAGAAATGTATTGGTTTGGAATGCTGCAGTAAATATCTATTGTTTGGTGATTAGGTTGCCAGATCAATATGTGAGAACAGTATTCATAATGTAGCAGAAATCATTGGAAGAGAACAGCAACAGAATGGAAAAGATGCTATTTTAGATATTCATAGTAAAGTAGGTCTAATTATGCTTTTGAAAGAGACAAAAAATCTGAAGAAATTATTAAAATTCTTTCAGGAATTTTGGGAGGCTTGCATCAATTCTTTGCTAATATCACTTCTAGTTTTCTTTGCATTTATTCCAGAGATCTAGCATCATAATGAGCTATCAATAGCAATGGTTTTAACTAATTTGTTAAGATTGTTAACAATGAGAACTATTTTACCTTGGGTAACTGAGAATGAAAAAAGAAGATAGTTGAGGATGTATACTTTCTTTAGTATAAATTAACTGAATTATCTCAGAGAGAGGGGATGGAGGGAGTGGCTTTCTATATTGCTATTTCCTATTAGTGCCTAGAGTCAGTGAATATAGGTCATTTACATGCAGAAGATGCTTACAGATTAGTTGTTCCTATAAACAAGCATTCCTTAATAAGTAACTTGTCTTTCAAAAAGCATTTCAGGATTTTGTCTTTCAAAAAGCATTTTAAGATTTTGTAGACATGCCAGGATTATCTTTGTGAATAGATTTTATTTAAACACTTTTAACGTTTTTTTTTTTGAACTCTGGCTAAGTAAGAGATTACTTCATAGGGGACATAACATCACAGTTCATGTGTTACCTCTGATACCAGAATTCAAAGGCGGAGACTTTTTTTATGTTCTCTGTGTCTCATGCTTTTAAAAATGTTTAGATTTACTTGTCATGAAGTAACTAACTTTGCAATGTGATTCCCTTGGCTTTAGTTTGTAGCTATTTCTATTTATAAGTAGATGGTTATAATATGCAAATAAGATTTCATTATTTTTATATGGTTTGGATTAAAATTAGCTGCATAATTCTTTTATTAGGAAGTGGCTGTTTTTGTCTTTGATAAAAAACTGATCGATAAATATCAAAAATTTGAAAAGGATCAAATCATTGATTCTCTAAAACGAGGAGTCCAACAGTTAACTCGACTACGACACCCTAGACTTCTTACTGTTCAGCATCCTTTGGAAGAATCCAGGTAAGTTTTTTAAATTTATTTTTAAAGATTTATTTATTGACTTATATATACAAGAACTGGGGTGAAGGCCAGAGGTACAGGGGGTGAGAGGATTCACTAGAAACAAAGTGAGGAGCAGAACAGGCAGATTTACTGAAATACACTGCAAGGGGAGCTGCTGGCAAGACAGGAGAGGTCTGCTGTGCTGTGTGGGTCAGCTCCCTGGCTGGGGATTGAGCGGAGGCTATAGAGGGGATAGTGCTGAGACTTAACACCTAAGCCATACCCCTCCAGGTAAATGCTTCACATTTATTTAATTCATTTAATTCTCACAGTTATATAAAAGAAGTAAGGATACTAGATTATTTAAGCCATATATTTTAAGGGGAAGAGCTGGATTCCATCTTATTGTATTCCTAAGCCCATGTTTATCTTTTTTTTATTTTTTATTTATTTATTTTTTTTTGAGATTTATTTATGCATACAAGAGCTGGAGACTGCAATATGGCTAGAGGTACCGGGGAGGGGAGAAACTTCACCAGAGACAGAGTAGGGAGCAAAACAGATGACTGAGATAGACTGCTGAGGGGAGTAGCAGGCAGATCAGGAGACTCATGTGGATCACCTCCTTGGCTGGGAATCAACTCATGCTGCAGTGACTGCGGATAGCTTCACAGTGCTGTGCTTTAACCCCTGTGCCATCAGGGAGGGCCCCCATGCTTACTTTTCACTGTTCCATATTGTGCATATCCAGAAATATACTCATATTACTGCAGGGTAACCCTAGTGTGAAATGAGTTGGTCTGAGTGTGGGTCCTCACCTGCACACTTAAAAGGAACTTACGATGAGAATCAAAAGCAGGTGCACATAAAAAGGTTAATAAAGGGTTGAGCTATAAAAGGGAAAATGAAGAAATTCATAACTCAGGGAAAAATAAAGAGAGATAAATTAGTGACTGTCTTACGAGTTCTGCTGAGCCTGGAACTCCAGTAGCACCCTGAAAGCCAAGAAAAAAACAAGTGCCCCAAAGCCCCACATGTCTGAGTACTTACTAAGCCTGGCTGCTCAACTCCACCCTCAGTTCCTAGCAGTCCTCTCTTTGGTGGTGATGACATTATGGGATTTGTAGTCCTTGGTGTCTTGGTTCTCATGTGGGGGTGGGGTCCATAAAACCTGTGTTCGTGGAGTTCGTTCAGGACTCCTTTCCCCCCAACAGAATGTTACCTCATATAAATATTTTATTGCCTTTTCATGAACAAGCCCAGGAGATGTTTATATTAGTGTCTTATGTAACACTCTCTAGTGTGAGCCCTATATCGCAAAGTGGACTATGTTCTTTTCACCATATTTGTGCTGAGCTTTTCTGACTCTGTGCTTGTTTGTGTTATTTCTTCTGGAGTGTTCTCTATCAATGTTTGTAGTGGCACCTGTCAGTGTCTTATCTATTGTCATTTTAACTAATATCAACATGTTAAATATATTTGACATGTGTTTTTATAATTACATTTTAAGTCTCTTGAGAAAAGGATCATCAGTTAGTAGTTTTCGCCATCATTTTCTTTGATAATAATTTAAGTATAGAACTAGGGATTTTTTGGCAATTATGAAGAGAAACAATTCAAAGATTAATACAAGTTTATAAAAATTGAAGTAGCATTGACACAAATAGGAGCATTTTAGGGAGGAAAAAATAACATCTGTTTTTCTTGACTTAATAAGGTGCATATGACATTGGAGTTATCCAAATTAAATGTTCTATAAAAAGTGTAAGCCAAATGAAAACTCATAGTTGGAGGATGTCTATAGGAGCAATACAGAGGATGTAATTAAAACTCTGAAAAAGGAATTTTTATGCAGAATGAATACAAAGAACAGAGTACCAAAGATAGAGCTTGAAGTGTATGGGGAAGGTTAAGTCTGGGAAAGAAATAAGAGTGATCATTGTTATACAACAGGAGGAAAATTGGCATGGACAAAAAGTATGTCAGGGAAGCCAAAGAAGCGAAGAAGGGTTCCACTATGTGGGCCACCAAGTAAAAAGAAAGAGGGACTAGGAAGACTCCATTACATCTGATTAGCTATTATTAGTAATACTCAATAATCTCAGTAGGTTGGCAGCTTGGAAGCTAGGAAATAGATGCCAAGGAGCCCAGCAGAGAAGACATCATTATATGAATAACATCCCATGGGAGAAACTCAAAAGAAATGTTAGGAGTACAGTTGAAGAATCAGTGATAAATTGAGGTAAAATTTAGGGAAAATGAGGTCATTCATATTAGTGAACTTTTTTATCCTTTAAATAGAAAATGGGGAATATGTGAGTAAGTGTGCTAAGGGGACAATGGCATAAAGGAAAATGTCATAGGTATAATATAATATACCCATATTTTAAATCAATGCTTTGGTTTTCCATAAAGAATATTGGTCACCCCAAAGTACAACTGAAATAGCACTTATTTTTTACCATTTTTGCCATAAAAACTGTTAAAATATTTAACTTGGAAGACACCACCACTAATACTTAAGTAATATTTGATTTTGATAATGTTGAAAAATGTGATAGTAAATAATTTCATCTTTTTTAAAACAGGGATTGCTTGGCTTTTTGTACAGAACCAGTTTTTGCCAGTTTAGCCAACGTTCTTGGTAACTGTGAAAATCTACCCTCATCTGTATCTCCAGATATTAAGGATTATAAACTTTATGATGTAGAAACCAAATATGGTTTGCTTCAGGTGTGTATTTTTATCTATCATCTACAGAGATTTCCTTCAATTCATTCTTGCCTGTTTTAAATTTAATGGTATTTCTATGTTCCAGAATACTTCCACAGTTGATAATTAGGTTTTAATTATATTTGAAATGGATCCTTTGGAGAATGGCACTTATTGGGTGTTAGGTACTTCCCTTTTGATTTTTTTTTTTGAATTTTAAGCCAGTAATGCATTTTATAAGCTAAACATTAAATTGAAATAATGAGATTTTAGTAAAAATAGAAAGTTGCATCTTTAAGGAAATTGTTTAATAGGTATCAAGAGATAGTTTGCCTTTATAGAATATGTCTACTTTTTCTGATCTTTTCTCTGTTTGCCAAAATATTTTTAGCTCTGTAAATTTATGCAGTAGGTTCTTAATTCTGGCTTTTTCCCACTACTGCTTAGATTGTCCTGGAAACATAAAATACTACACTTTTGATTTTTGATGGAATTTAAATGTTAACTGACATTAGAAATATTTCATTATGAGAAGCAACAATTAAGATTTTTTATGGGGCATTATTGTAATTATAAAAGCTTCATTTAATGTGGAAATGTCTTGTGTTTTTCCATTTATAGGTTTCTGAAGGATTGTCATTTTTGCATAGCAGTGTGAAAATGGTTCATGGAAATATTACACCTGAAAATATAATTTTGAATAAAAGTGGAGCCTGGAAAATAATGGGCTTTGATTTTTGTGTATCATCAACCAACCCTTCTGAACAAGAGGTAATGCAGGATTTAATCTTTTTTATTTTCAGATTTTTTTTTTATTTATGCATACAATAACTGGGGTGTAGGCCAGCTGCAGGAGATGAGAGTGTTCACCAGAGGCAGAACAGGAGCAGATCAACTGAAATACACTGCTGAGGGGAGCAGCACCTGAGACAGGAGAGGGCTGCTGTCCTCAGACCAGGATGGAACTTACCCCACAGTGGGTGGTGATAGCTTGGTAGTGCTGGGACTTTAACCCCTGTTCCACCAGGGAGACCCCAGCATTTAGCCTTTAATATTTTAAAAATGTGGAGAAAGTATTTGCTTGATGAATATTTAGAAATAGGCTATGCAATCCAATGGTATATTTAAATACTTGGCTTGATAGAACATTTCTTGTGTTCTTTGTTCTTAAAGTATTCTTCAGCTTATAGTTCCACAGTAGTTAGTGTTACTGGAGAAAAGGATTTTAGAGTTAAATAATTCTGATAGCTTTTGGGTTCAATAGCCTTTTTCCCTTAGAATACTAACTATGCTAACAAACACTGTGATCTCTAGCAGAATTTGTGATTTCTACCACTTATTAAACCATAGAGTCTTCTTTAGGGATCATAATAACAATCAATAGCAATGATAATAATAGCTAACATTTACTGAAACATTTTTCTAAAGACATTTTATGTATTTAATACTTAATCCTTACAACCTGGTTGTGTGTGAGAATAATATAGATGAGATAGGCTCATTAGACTAAAATTCTCTAGGTTTAGAGAGTGGTAGATAGAACTGGGATTTCTGATACCTGTTTTTTAGTTATTATGATACCTGCCTATTTAAACATAGAAAAATACTGTAATATTTCAGGTTTTTACTGAAAACAGGGACCATGATTTGACCTAAGACAAATAGATGTGTAATTTAAGTAAACATTATAAGGGGAAAAGAAATAGTATTGTCCAAGTACATCTGGGGGCCAGGCACTGGCTATATATTTGTTTAATCTTTTAACAATGTTTTGAACCTATTAACTAAAACAATAGCTGCTTAATAAAAGAATGACAACCTATTTGAACCCATAAAAACTTGAGGCCCAGAAAGCTTTTCCATATTCATATTGCATTTTATAGTAATAATCTGTCTTCTAGAAGATTGCACTAGTAATCTCAAAGTTTTTACTCTTTTTTAAAGATTTACTTATTTATTCATACAGGCCAGAGGTGCAGGGGTGGTGCAAGACAGAGTGGGGAGGAGAACAGGCCGACTGATGAGGCACACTGCTGAGGGGAGCAGCGGGCGGGTCAGGAGAGGTCTGCCACACCATGTAGTCACCTCCAGGGCAGGCGGGGGATCAAACTCATGCTGAAGTGGCGTTAGCTTCTTAGTACTGTGCTTTAACCCGCTGCGCTACTAGGGAGAGCCTTAAAGTTTATTCTTATCTTTCAGTATATCACATACATTTTTCAGATTTGGGAATTTTAGGTTTGAAGATGGTGGTAGCATTTCTATTTGCATGACTGAGTAAGAATATAAAATGTATTGTTGTTGTTTGGTTTCCTTTAGTTGGAAATATTTAATCTGTGTAATCCCTTTTCCGTCTCGTTATAGCTTAAATTTCCTTGTAAAGAATGGGACCCAAATTTACCATCATTGTGTCTTCCAAATCCTGAATATTTGGCTCCGGAATACATACTCTCTGTGAGCTGTGAAACAGCCAGTGATATGTACTCTTTAGGAACTGTTGTGTATGCGGTGTTTAATAAAGGGAAACCTATATTTGAAGTCAACAAGCAAGATATTTACAAGAGTTTTAGTAGGCAGTTGGATCAGGTATTTGCCTATAAAGTACTTGCATGCATTAAAATATATTGTTTTTTAAAATTTTTTTCTAAACTATGTTCAGGAAATACTCTGAAGTGAACTTTTAACTTTGCATAGTATCAATTTAATAAGTTAATTCTATAACAAATGAGTACTAAAGTTTGTTACTACAGTTTTAACCTTGATATTGACTAGCATGATATTGAAATGTGATCTGGAATACTTAGCACTTGTTTTAGGACTAGAAACAATTTTCTTCCCAAATATTTTAATCTGTGTAAATTTTGCATAGAACTGGGGTATAGGCCAGAGGTTGCAGGGTGGTGAAAGGATTACCAGAGACAGAGTGGGGAGCAGAACATGCGGATCCACTGAAATATACTGTTAATTGGAGCAGAGGTGAGACAGGAGAGGTCTGCTTTGCCACATAGGTTATTTCCCTGGCTGGGGATTGAACTTTCGCAGTTATGGTGGGCGTTCTTGGTGGTAGCACTGGAAGCCTAGGACTAGAAACACAATTTCAGATATTAAAGCAAAAATTATTTTGCAAGAGTAGAGCTACACTTCATTCAAAAATATATTTTTGAATAAATTTCAGAAAGTTTCTTAAACTGTTGACAATATAAATACATATCTTTATATCTAATGTTTTCACTCTTTTAAATAGTTGAGTCGTTTAGGATCTAATTCACTTACAAATATACCCGAGGAAGTCCGTGAACATGTAAAACTGCTGTTAAATGTAACTCCAACTGTAAGGCCAGATGCAGATCAAATGACAAAGGTGAGTACTTATAAATTCCTCCCTAAGTGGAGAGTTAAAAATGAACTAAGTGTTTCTAAAGTGATTGTTATAGTCCCCAGATAACATTTATGTTCTTGAATGTTTTTAATAGTCAATGTCTTTGAAGAAATTCAGCAATTTATGTAACTGCTGTCATATAAAATAAGATTTCAAAATAGAGAGACTCCCTAATACTCTTAAGTAGATTTGCAGAATTTCTGAACTCCCAAGAATTCATCCCTTTAATTCACTCATCTAATTGTGGATTTAAATAAGTAAATTGTACTCTTTATGCTTTCAATATATTTTACTTAATCTTTCAATATTTTCAATTATGTAGAGAAAATGTTACTCCCCAGCCAACAGATACTGATTCTGAAAATTTGAACATGAAAAGTAATTTGTAATACTTTTAATTTCTGATTGCTGTAGACTTCGTAAGTGGCCTTTCCATTTTATAAATTTTTTTATTTATTTTTATTTATTTTACTGTATGAGGTTAATTTCATATCTGAGAAGTGCTTTAAACTTACCATTTGTCAAAATCATTTTATTTTTCTAGATTCCTTTCTTTGATGATGTTGGTGCAGTAACACTGCAGTATTTTGATACCTTGTTCCAAAGAGATAATCTTCAGAAATCACAGTTTTTCAAAGGACTGCCAAAGGTTTTACCAAAACTGCCCAAGGTGTGTTGCTCATCAGTTTATTATAGCCAAGATTTAAAATTTGCAGTGTATTTTTACTTACTATGGTGGCTCTCCCAAAGAAATCAGTGTAACTTTTACCTTACGTGCAAAAATGACTATTAAGAAGCTGCAGACTGAAGGTAAAAGTTAAGTTAACCTTCTTTGCCTGGTCCAAAAATGATTGAATAGAATCAGATGAACTTAGAAGGATACCACCTTTGCAAAGGCAGCGCTGGTACATTAAATGTCAGAAGGGAAGCTTATGAGCTGGCATTGTGAAAATCATTGCTTCTCCAAAGATTAAGTTATTTCCCTGTTGATTCTCCTTCCCTCTCTGGTTTATTAATTCATAAATGTGAAATAGTCTACTTATTGTTGACGAATGCTAAAAAATCTACTAGATAGAATACTAGTAATCCTGGTTGGAAAAATATCTCTAGTGTTTACTCTGTGAGGTGCTCATGGATCACCCACTGGTTTTTTAGTGCTTTCCTTCTGTGTATGGAGAATAATAAAGAGAAAACATAAACTGTTTCTACTCAAGACTCTTACACTGAGTATAAATAGGATTACTATGGATGAAATCATCATGTCAGGACATTGTTATACTTGTGTTTTGTGAAGCCTAAATGTTGAAGGAATTAAGAAGAGAGACCTACTGGTGGAGGTTTATGGGCACACTGTCTTGATTTATGAGCAGTAGGGTCACACCACCTGCATTTGAACCTGGCTATCTTCATCTCAGTACTAGAAGTACGATTTGGACAAGTCTGTACTCTTACAACTTCTCTTTCTTCACCCCTCATTTCTAAAATGAGACTAAACGAAATTTTCTGGCACATAGCAAATATTACATGTGTCTGCAACTTAATGGCAACAACTTTTTAGTAAACTTGATTTAATGGTATTATGACATTAAGGAAGTTTTCCTAAAGGTAGGGTGTCTGTTTTTCCCCTTTTATCAAAGATATTTCCCAATTACATTTTTTTCTCCTGTTTAATTTTCAGTAGTGCCCAAGTGTCTCAGTTTCAGCCGTAAATTGTACATTTACTCAGAGTTTGGAGATTTTGGACTGTAATCTCAATGTTAGTACTAAAGGCCTAACATAAGTTTTCGTTTTATAAAAAATATATTTTTTTGCTTTACAGCGTGTCATTGTGCAGAGAATTTTGCCTTGTTTGACTTCAGAATTTGTAAACCCTGACATGGTACCTTTCGTCTTGCCCAATGTTCTGCTGATTGCCGAAGAATGCACCAAAGAAGAATATGTCAAATTAATTCTACCTGAACTTGGCCCTGTCTTTAAACAACAGGAACCAATCCAGGTATGTGTGTGTCTATGTGTCTGTTTGTGTACTTTGCATATTTACTTGCTGTTATTCAGTGATGTTAGTCAGTGACGTCTAACATTGAAAATACAAGAATGATTGTGCTATTTTTTAGAGTTGAGGTAAGTATATTTGCATATTGGAGAGACCTTTTCCTAAAACTATAATTGACATTCGCAAGTAAATATTCAGAACTCTCCATATGTTGCCATCTCAGAAAATAAATGTGGTAAGATTTTACATGTTTTACTGTTATTGTTCTGTTTGGTCTTATTGAAAATTACAGGTTTGGGAAAAGAAATTTTTTTTATGCACTTTCAGTTATCTTTGCTTTTCTGTTGGTCAGGATCTTTAATTTGTAGATGTTGTGTGCTAGTTGTATCTCTTAATTACTAAAAACACTTTCACCAGAAGTGGGAAAATTCTCACAAGATCATGGAAATGATGTATATGTGCATATAATAAACTGAAAATAATAATGAGGCTCTGATGCAGATTCCATTATATTTACTAGCCAGATTCAAAGTAGTCTTGACTTATGAGCAGTAGTGTCACACCATCTACTGTGACACTGAGCCACATTGAATCTGGTTGTCCTCATCTCATTACTAGAAGTATGACTTGGAAAAGTCTGTACTTCCCATTCTCACCTTTAAAATGAGACTAAATGAAATTTTCTGATGCATAGTAAATATTACTACATTCTGCCACTAAATAGCAAAAACTTGTTCATTAAACCATCAACTCCTTGATTTAGTGGCATTATGGCAGGCTGTATGTCCTTCCCTAGACAAAACAGAAACAGTAGGGTCTTGTGGTAAGAGTTCCTGTGTTCATAAAGGATAAAAAAGGTCTGGGCAGGTGAAGGAACTGCAGATTCCAGAGTATAGTTCCCCAAACATAGTCAAAGTATCAGCAAGAAAAATTAGTGGGGCCATGTGCTGCATCAGTTAAGACATAGCCATGTGTCCTAAGGAAACTGTCATCTGAATTCTTACTTGCCTCCATTCGTTGGTATTCTTTTTTTCCATTGTAGTTTAATAAAAATACCTTCTAAACACTTCTGAGAATTCAACATGAATAGAGGTAGGGTAGTTTGTTTCTTGTAATTTAGGTTATATGGTGGCAGCTAGGTGAAAAAAATGGATAGTGAGAGATAATTGAAAATGTTTCTTTTTTAAGATTTTCCTTAGCTCTTTACATTTTCTATACTGTTTTCTTTTTTTCTTGACTTTCATAGAAGTTCAGTGATGGAATTTATTTTGCTATCGTAGACTGCTTTTAAGCTTTATTATTTTACTCAGTAGCTTTCTGGATAGTGGGTATTTGTGGGTGACTGATGTATTACCAGAGATATGTGAGAGTTTGGTAGTTTTTATTTAAATGTTTAACCTGAAAACAGCTGATAAATATTGTGCTTCCAAAAATGTAAAAGGTTTGATATGTATGTTTTTATCTTCCATGCCTTCAGGCTAGCAACATGGTGAGTGTCAAAATATGTAACTTAATATTTTTAGGAAACTTGAAATTTTGGGCATATACAGAGTCTCATAAAGTTTCTAGCTTTAATTCATTATTTTTCTTTCTCTAAACAGATTTTGTTAATTTTTTTGCAAAAAATGGATTTGCTACTAACCAAAACTCCACCTGATGAAATAAAAAATAGTGTCCTGCCAATGGTTTACAGAGCACTAGAAGCTCCTTCTATTCAGATTCAGGTATAATATTTGACTTACTTTTCTTTAATGTTGACTGATTTTTAAATCAAAAGAAAGACATAAAGAGCATTTTTGGTTTGGGTAATGAAATATATAAAATTCAGTATTATATATTAATATTTTATATTATTCATAATGGTTATAAAATATACCTACTCCCAAGGAATTTAAAGAATAAGCTACAATTATCTCATTTATGAAGGGAAATGATTCATTGCTCTTATTAGAAATGCACCATTCTGGGATAAGTTTGAATTTATTATACTTTGGATTATTGTGTGATCCATTATACACCCAAACTCTTTCCAATGTGTAACTGACACATGAATGAAAATTTCAAAGATATATTTGCCTTGTTATAAAAATATTAAGCAGGTACTTCCCTATTCATAATTTTTTTTCATGTTCTGCAGCTCAGTTTTCTGTTAGAAATTCTCTTAACTTTTGCACTGATGTTCATTTGTGCAGCATGTGGCAATAAAAGTAGACAGTACTTTTGTGGGACAATTCCTCATGTATTGTGTACTTTTGTGTGACTATTCCTCATGTATTGTTTAGTCATGCTCTTTTTTCACCAGGAAAGGTGATCTTAAAGCAGTACATGCCTTCCAAGTTTTTATACTTTTGTAACTCCAGTATTAAAATTTTAGTTCTGTGACCTGGAAAAAATTGTCTGGATTGCTACTAAAAGTATATTTTAATTTATAGTCTTTTTTTTTAAGTTTAGAAATTAAATAGCATGTTCAGAACATCTCACTACTAAAGTGGTTTCATATCTATAAAAATTTATAGTCCCTGTGCCAGTGTAGGAATTCTGATAAAGAATAATACAGAATTTTTATTTTGAAGTCTCTGACTATAGCTTTTCTTCTAATATGATGTGAAAGGCTAGTTTTCTTCATAAGAAGATTAGTTTGACCAGTAAGTAACAGCCAGTATTTTATTAAAATCGTTAATATGTAATTCAGATTGACTTGTGCAGCTTTGGTGACTTTAGAAATTACCATTTCTGCCTCATTTAGCACAAGTCTTTAGTTGTCTCTCCAGTTAGTTAGAATCAACATTGCTGGGTAAGATTCTGATAAAATTAAAGCCTTCAGCTTTAGGAAAATCAAAATCAAAGCTCCAGCAGAATCAAAAATTTTTTACTCAAGTAAGTTGATGGCTGGAAAGTAACCTATTATACTCGTTTTTGGTGTTAAGTATTTTTTTTTTTTTTAAGTTTTATTTATTCATACAGAACTGGGGTACAGACCAGAGGTGCAGGGGCTATGAGAGGTTTCACCAGAGACAGAGTGGGGAGCAGAACAGGCAGACTGACGAAGCACACTGCTGAGGGGAGCAGCCGGCGGGTCAGGAGAGGTCTGCCGTGCCATGTGGGTCACCTGCAGAGTAGGGCAGAGAAGAACTCATGCTGCAGTGGCTTTAGCTTCTTAGTGCTGTGCTTTAACCCGCTGCGCCACCAGGGAGGGCCCAGGAGTTAAGTTTTTAAAGTGGCATTTGTTTACAAGTATTTGATAGGCTAGGAAAGAATAAACATTTGGAAAAGTAAACAAAGTGTTATAAGAGTTAGGATTCTTAAAGGCTTAAATTAAAATATTTTAAAAAATCATTTACTTTTATATTAAATATCAAAACTTTGTCCATTCTCCCCTTAATATTATCAATTATTGAGAAAGTACAAAATAAACAGAACTTCTGAAAATTGCCTAATTGAGCTTCCTTAAAGTGTTTGGTTTTATTTAATCTCCTCTTCTTACATGTTACATATTCTATCACATGGATATATACAATAGCTATGCCATCTTTATTTAAGAGGAATAGTTTTACATGTCTTTGCACTTGATTTTTCAAATCAATATAGTGGTTCGGTTTTTAAAAATAAGTGAAAAATTGTGTTATCGGAAATGAAAACTGAATGTTGGTACCATGAGTTAGTTACAAAACCTAGTAAGGGGCCTTCCTGGTGGCACACCTGTTAAAGTCTCAGCACTATCAAGATATTGCCAGCCACTGCAACATGAGTTTGATCCACCCCCCAGATCCCTACTCTCTGACCAGGGAGCTAACCTACTTGGCAGAGAAGACCTCTCCTTTCTCTCCCAGGTGCTCCCCTCAGCAGTGTATTTCTGTAGATCTACTTGTCTTTTCTGCTCTCCACTCTGTCTCTGGTGAATCTCTCCTTCTCTCACATCTGGTCTGCATCCCAGTTCTTTGTATGCATTTAAAAAAAAAAAAAAAAAAAACCCAAAACCTACGTACGCCCTCCCTGGTGGCGCAGCGGGTTAAAGCGCAGCACTGAGAAGCTTAAGCCACTTCCACATGAGTTCGATCCCCGCCTGCCCCAGAGGTGACCACATGGTGTGGCAGACCTCTCCTGATCCGCCCGCTGCTCCCCTCAGCAGTGTACTTCGTCGATCTGCCTGTTCTGCTCCCCACTCTCTCTGGTGAATCCGCTCACCCTTCGCATCTCTGGCCTGTACCCCAGTTCTGTATGAATGAATAAATCTTTAAAAAAAAAAATCTAAGTAGTTCTTGAGTAAGGTCTTCTGAACTTGTGTCCTCATCTGTAAAAGTTAACTGATAATGATAACAGTATTTTTCTTTCAAATAGTTGATGAAAAGATCAAATGATATACAAATTTCCAACAATGTGACAAATTAGCCATGCAAATGTGAAATGTATTTTAATATGTAAGAAAAACAACGGAATAGTCTTTCCCTAAATGAGGTTGATTTGTTTTCTTAATAGGAACTCTGTTTAAACATCATTCCAACCTTTGCAAATCTTATAGACTATCCATCCATGAAAAATGCTTTGATACCAAGAATTAAAAATGCATGTCTACAAACATCTTCCCTTGCTGTAAGTAACTGCATATTAATTTTTGTTTTCCTTTTACTTCCCACTGGTTTAAATAATTTTGTTATTGTTTAATTGCCTTTTTATAGTTCACTTCTTTGTTTGTCTTGTCTATAGGTAACACATATAGTACTATAAAAGCAAGCAATAATAAAAATTTCCATTGATATATATAATTATGTAATAGTGCATTTCTATCTCCTAACTTTGAATACTTCAATAGAAAATTTGAGTAGTTATTTTTCTTAATCCTTTTCTGCTTTTACAATTTATTTTGTTGGTAGTTTTAGAATAATCATGAGAGTTTAAATTTGTGTAGTTCTAAAAACTTTTTTGAGTAGCTTCCTTTTATAAACTGCTTTTATTTTTACCCCCAGCTTAGTTGCCTACTTTCAAAACAGTGAAGAGTACAATTAAACAGTATGTTAATAACAATACAAGTGGGAAGAAATGGTTTTACTCAGAACTCGAGGCCAAGGGTGGTTGCCTTCTTCTGATACTGAATTTCAGTGCTGAATTACTTGGTGGTCTCATGATTTCACTGGGAACAGTTAGTGTTCTTAATCACTTATGCAACACTACCTTATAAGAATTTAGCCCACTGATAATTCTTCATAGAAGTAACATTGAATTCTCCTAATATAGAGGGAGAAATGTCTTCTTTCACTGCTCTGATCTTTGATGTCTGATAGTGGGAAGATTATTAGTTTTACATTTTGTAAAGATCTTTGGAGAAATGTGAATTAATTTATTTCAAACTTTATCTTACTTATGTTAATAAGTGTGAAACAGAATTATTAAACTTCAAATAAATTCTTCCTTTACTACAATAGAAAGAATTTAAATAAAAACAAACATTTGTACCTTAATAGAATTATAAACAAAAGTAATCTAAACAACATAGTTTTACTCTGTAGCTGTCTAATCCATTTTTCCCCGATACAGAGACTCTGAGATGGAAAATAACACCACAGTATCAAAATATTATTTACTAATATGAACAAGTATGAAATGAAATGAAGTTAACAAATCTGAGTACTTATTTTGACTCCACTACTATCCATTGAGAAAGTCTTTGAATCTCTCTGAGTATCTTTTTCATCAACATTAAAAGGGATTTGAGGCCCTCCCTGGTGGCGCAGGGGGTTAAAACATTGCACTAAGAAGCTTAAGCCACTTCCGCATGAGTTCGATCCCTGCCTGCCCCAGAGGAGATCCACATGGCATGGCAGACCTCTCCTGACCCGCCCGCTGCTCCCCTCAGCAGTGTACTTCATTGATCTGCCTGTTCTGCTCCCCACTCTGTCCCTGGTGAATCCTATCACCCTCCGCATCTCTGGCCTGTAGCCCAGTTCTGTATGAATGAATAAATAAATCTTTTTTAAAAAAAAAAAGGACTTGAAATGCAGTCCTTTCCCCTTTTCCCTAAAATTCCTTGATTTTATGATTACATTTCCAAAATGGGTGGTAGTAATAGATCACATAAAATTCAGTTTTCAAACTGCTCTTTAAGAAATTGCATAAGTCATGATATTTTGTGGTAGCATAAATTTATTTTAGTATACATTTTGTGTGAGTGCATGCTAGTTCACTTCTGAGTATGTATGCAGAGCGAGATGTGAAATATGGCTACTTAAATGATCTGTGTAAGTGTCCATAGATATTTATAATCTAAAGATGACAGCTGAGCTCTTTAGGGCATGTTGTTTATTTTATTTATTTATTTTAAGATTTTATTTATGCATACAGAACTGGGGTACAGGCTAGATGTGCAGGGGTGGTGAGAGGATTCAGAGATAGAGAGACAGAGTGGGGAGCAGAACAGGCAGATTGACAAAATACACTGCTGAGGGGAGCAGTGGGTGGGACAGGAGAAGTCTGCTGCAGCATGTGAATCACCTCCAGGGGTAGGGATTGAACTCATGCTAAGGTGGCTTTAGCTGCTTAGTGCAGTGCTTTAACCCACTACACCACCAGTGGGGTGAGGGTTGGGGGGGGGCGGGCATGTTGCTTTTAAAATTTTTTTTTTTTTTTTTAAGATTTATTTATTTGTACATACAGAACTGGGGTACAGGTCAGAGGTTCAGGGGTGGCGAAAGGCTTCACCAGAGACAGAGTGGGGAGCAGAACAGGCAGATCTACGAAGTACACTGCTGAGGGGAGCAGCGGGCGGGTCAGGAGAGGTCTGCCGTGCCATGTGGTCACCTCCGGGGCAGGCGGGAATCGAACTCATGCGGAAGTGGCTTTAGCTTCTCAGTGCAGTGCTTTAACCCGCTGCGCCACCAGGGAGGGCCGCTTTTAAAATTTTTAACAAATATATTTAGAATAGTAACTCTGGAATGGGTTTGCATTTTATATTACCACATTCAGTGCTTCTCCCTTCAAAGTGGCAACTGTAAATTCCTGAATTGCATTCATAGACATAAAATTCCAGAAGCAAGAGTCATGAATTAGAGTTGTATTTTAATAATATATCTGAAAAAAAAGAAAATGCAATTCTATGCAGTTTGGTATTATGCTCCTAGAGTTCAGTTTCTTCATGATGTACATGACTAATATTTTATGTATGTCAAAGAAACTCAAATAATTCCAGTGTCTCTTTCTGTGCATTAGAGTACAAAAATTACTTTTTTTTTAAGTTTTATTTATTTATGCATACAGAACTGGGGTATAGGCCAGAGTTTCAGGGATGTGAGAGTCAGAGTGGGGAGCAGAATAGGCCGACTCATGAAGTGCACTGCTGAGGGGAGCAGCGGGTGGGTCAGGAGAGGTCTGCTGTGCCATGTGGATCACCTTTGGGGCTGGAGATCGAATTCATGCTGAAGTGACTGTAGCTTCTTAGTGCTGTGCTTTAACCCGCTGTGCCACCAGGGAGGGCCACAAAAATTCCTTTTATAAAACTGATTCTAACAGCAGGTTAACAGTATTCCTTGTGTTGTAATTTCAGAAAACACTGTACATTTATACATTACTTTTCAGAGAAATATTTTCCATCTTGTTTTTTTTAACTGTTATTTTGTTTTTCTTAGTCATTAGTTTTTGTTTTTTTTAATGGGTATCTTACTGGAATTATGATCAAAGTATTATATCCTAATAAACTATAGCTAAAAGTTAGGCTGTAAAATATTTGGCAAAGTTGTTGTGACTATAGAAAAAAATTGTGATAAAAGAGCTCCTAAATACAGGGTTTAGTAACTGGATTAGAGGTGCACTTAAAAATAGAAAGCTTTATGTAGGACATAGGTGTATACTCTTCACATGTTGTTAAAATATATACCTTAAGGCTTAATTGAACCTGAGTTAGAGAAAAATACTGAAAACCCAATAGCACCAATGAGTTTGTAGGGAAATATAGTTCTTCTATAATTAAAATATCTCTAAAGAAGAGTTCTTTTTTTTTTTTTAAAGATTTTATTTATTTGTGCATACAGTACTGGGGAACAGGCCAGAGGTGCAGGGACGGTGAGAGGATTCACCAGTGACAGAGTGGGAAGCAAAACAGGCAGATCTTCAAAGTTCACTGCTGAGGAGAGCAGTGAGTGGGCCAGGAGAGGTCTGCCGCGCCATGTGGTCACCTCTGGGGCAGGTGGGATTGAACTCATGCGAAAGTGGCCTTAGCCTAAGTGCTGCGCTTTAACCCACTACGCCACCAGGGAGGACCCTAAAGAAGAATTCTTAATAAGCAGATATATAGTAAAGGTTCTCAAATCTTAATCACTTTATTTAAAATAATATAAAATTAAAGTCATTCCTAACTAGTGTCCTGGAAAAACAGTCATAAATTATTGCAGAAATAAGTCAGGGGAATTAGTACATGCATGAATTTTCTATATTAATATTCTAAACCTACTTTTTGTAGATTTCAGCATGTCTATATAGAATTTAAATTTATACTTACATAACTTGTTTCAGATTGCAAAGTCTCTTACCGTTTATCTCTTTTAATAGGTTCGTGTAAATTCATTAGTGTGCTTAGGAAAGATTTTGGAGTACTTGGATAAATGGTTTGTGCTTGATGATATCTTACCCTTCCTACAACAGATACCATCCAAGGAACCTGCGGTCCTTATGGGAATCTTAGGTAGCTGAAAACTTAATTTTATTTGATGATACTTTATTTAAAGCATGCAAATAATTTTCCAATCTGTAAAATTATATACTCTTCTTTAATGTGGATCACATTTACTAATTGAAGGATGATGCCATGATAGAACTTTTCTTTATGTTAATTTTAGCAAAAGCAGTAGAATCTTGACATTTACAGCGACATTTGGGAATTCTAACTTAACAAATATCATGATAACATACAGTTTTCACTCTAAAATGGGACCAAATAAAAGCGACAAAACTATTTAAAATGCTGATACCAGTGTTAATAGTAACAACTGATGTTTACTTACTAGTTTATAAGATGCACTATACTATTTTCTCTGTTATCTTTTATATCTCCAAAATCCATTGACATAATATAATTATTTCTGTTTTATAATAGGAAAAACTAAGGTTCAGGGAGGTGAAGTCAGTTATTCAGGATCACGCAACTGATAAGTGGAAGACCTCATTCTTAATTTACATGTATTTAAATCTTAACAATTGTTTTTCTCTAAGTGATATGTTTTACTGTTTACTCTGAAATTCTAAATAGAGTTACAAAGTCTGGAAGTGGCCCATAAGTCTGCAGTATTTATAGAAATAGACATAACTGTAGATCACAAAAATATTAGCAGGTTCACTTATTTATTAAATTGAAGTCTTTTGTTAATATTGAAGAAAACTAATTTACTCATTATATATTTTTAATGCTTGTTGTAGTGCCTGCTGTATAGAAAGTCATCACTATATATGTGTAAGAATGGTCAACAATTAATTTATCGTAGACCATTATAGAATGAGAACTTCTGGGACATGGTGTGGACCTGTGAACTTGGAGGATGTTAATCTTCTTAACAAGGAGTTTCACATAGTGGAAAGACCCCAAGCACAAGCCTGGTTGTCAGTTACTCTAGTGACTTTAAAAGGTCTCCTTGCCTATCAAATGATATAAAAATAACATTATTATAGAATTCCCGTGAGAATTCAGTGAGACAAATGAAGGGAAAATAAGGAGCATGATACCAAGTAATAAGCATTTAACAAGTGCTTAGTAAAACTTTTCTGAATATAAAGTAAGGTTTACATTGACAGGAAATCAATAGGAGAATGGTGTATTCTGAAGCTTTGGATTCTAACATGCAAACACTTATAACATGAAAGCATTCAGAAAATGAGCAAATACGCTTAGTTTATGAAATGGAATGCTGTATGAATAGTGTAATAAGAAGGATCTTTAAAGTTAACAGGTGAGACAAGAGGAAGGATTTTGTGGAGTTGATTAAATTATTAAATTTTAAACATTGAGTCTGATTGGCTAAAATGGTGCAAGGCCTATACTTAAGCACTTTGAAAAAGATGAATCAAGTTTGAGCAATAAGTCTGAAATATATATTTAGATGTTATAATCTTACTGATGTACTGTAAGAATTGTTATCTAGCTCTGATAAATTTTTAGAATTATGTTATAATTGAATGTTCCCTTAGACTAAAAGAATATAAGATAAGTGTGTCATGTTTAAATTTAGACTGATGATAACACTGGAATTCAGAAACATACATAAGCTCATTCTTGTTTTAAGATCTGCTAAAGAAAAATTTGTAACTATATTGCTTATCAAATGACTTAATATAGATACACTGTCTTCCACAATTTCTGTTATTTCATCGTACTAAGTTATAAACCTTGTCTCATTCTTTTCTATCAGGTATTTACAAATGTACTTTTACTCATAAGAAACTAGGAATCACCAAAGAGCAGCTGGCTGGAAAAGTACTGCCTCATTTGATTCCCCTGAGTATTGAAAACAATCTTAATCTCAATCAGGTAGGGGTATTTTTTAGTTCTTTACTGTATTCAGCTTACTTTTTCTTCACACTAACTATAGAAATCTATTACAGGTAAAGATTGCTTAAACAAAAATTATGAGAGTTGAATGAAAGGTTATGGGTTTAAAATTAGGGGTATGAGAGGTAGAAGGATGAATTACTGAAGACTTTCTTGGGAAATGGTTAAGTGATCATTTGTTGAAACATGTAGGTTTGTTTTTATTTTTAAGATTGATTTATTTATGCATACAGAACTGGGGTACAGGCCAGAGGTGCAGCGGCTGTAAGAGGCTTCACTAGAGACAGAGTGGGGAGCAGAACAGGCAGATCGATGAAGCACACTGCTGAGGAGAGCAGCGGGCGGGTCAGGAGAGGTCTGCCGCGCCATGTGTACACCACCAAGGGTGGGGATCAAACTCATGCTGAAATGGCTTTAGCTTCTTAGTGCTGTGCTTTAACCTGCTGCACCACCAGGGAGGGCCAAACATGTAGGTTTTAGGGTTACTTTCAAATCTGGGGCTGAGAAGTTAACATAAACAAAGAAAATAGTCTTGTCATGTGTCTAGTATGTGCATTCATTATTTATTGCTCCATAACATATCTCCAAAATCTTAGTGAAGTAAAGCAATCTACATTTCCAGGGCATGGTGAGCTGGACTCCCTGCTTTTTCTCACAGTGCTGCATTCAAGGGTAGGGTCTCATTTGAAGGCTTCACTGCGAGAAGGATCAGCTTCTGAGCTCCCTTATGTAGTTGTTGGGAGGATTCCACTCCATTTAGGCTGTTGGACTGTGGGCCTCAGCTCCTAACTCTTTGTTAGCTGGGTACCACTGTTGGTTCCTTGCTTCGCGGGCCTCTCTAACATGGCAACTTGTTTAGTTAGAGTCAGAAAGAGAATGTCTGCCAGAAAGAAAGAAATAACAGTTCCTTGACGTGTACTTTTTTACTTTTTCCATTTGGTGATTATGGACCACTTTAGGGTTGTGTACCACAGAGAATGAACAGTTAGGTTGGACTGAGAAATACCTATAACATAGTAGGGTGTAATGAAAAAGATTAATTGAGATGAGAATAGGTAGACTTCAAATGCTGTCTGGTTTAGGTGTTTGAACTTTCAAGTTATAGTGAATGCTTTTGCAGAGTAATGTACTCATAGATTATTATAGAAGTAGCACATTATGTATTTATGTCTCTGACTCTTCTAGAAGTCTGGTTATTATAGCTTATTTTTTTACTATATCCCCAACATTTATTGTAGTGCCAGAAACAAAAATAGTTAACTGAATTGAGAGAAAATGTAGGTACGTAGTAATGACACAGATTTTGTTTACTATAGAACTGGTGTTTAATGAAGTACAGTGGAAACGACTGGGAGGAGCTCTACTGTTTAATTGGGTGTCAGATAGGCAGGATTTGAAATTTAGAACTGATATTGAATTGGAGTAATGAAGAAAGCAGAAAGGTGGGAAGTGTTTTGGAACTGGGAGTTTGAAAGTTTACCCCTAGATTTCAGTTTTTGGCTTGTTTCCTCATATCTTTGGTGACGGGGTGACTTCAAGTTATGTTTGGCAAAAAGGAGCAATGGAATACTGGAGAAGGAGAGAATGATAATATAGCTTCAACTTTTGGACATTTCTGTTCTTAGTTTTCCTAGTTACAGCTTAGGACTTTATGACTTAGGCATTCCTAAATGCTTATTTCCAGATATTAATTAGTTTTTTTCAGCATTATGTTTAATTTTTTAGGGGCCCATTTTCATCAACACAAATATTTTGGTTCATAGCTTTTTGTAGTTTAACAACAATATGGATGTTGTCTGCTTTCTTATTCATTTCATAGATAGGGCTTCTTACTCAAGACTGCCCTCTTCTGCTAGTTCTGTTTTAAATAATCCTAGTATATTATACATTAGCTGAAAAAGAGAAAATAACATAAGGAAATACATTTTTTAGTATTTGATTAAAAAGAACAGTAAGTATGCATCAATTAAAACACTATCAGTCACAATCTATATGGAGCAGGGTTCCAAAGATAACCCCCAAATTTGATGATTCACTAGGAAGATTCACAGGCCTCAGCATGTATTTGTACTTATAGGTATGATGTAGTATGATAAAAGAAATTGGGATAGCAAATTGGTAAAGGGGATTATAGGACAGTGTCTGGGAGAAACCAGGTGTGAACTTCCAGAATCATCTCCTGATACAGTGACAAAGAGTGTGTTTAATTTCTCTGGTAATGAATTACAACAATATTTGTGAAAATGTTGCCCAGTCAGAAAACTCATTAGAGAATCATTGCTCAGTTTTTATTGGGGACTGATCAGGTAGTCCCCTCTACCTGCTAGGTGCGCAGATTCCAGACTCCCAGATGGGAAACAAGTGCTTAGCATAAAACTAGTTTTTGAATAGTCTAGGCATAATGAGGCATAGTAAGTTAATGGTGAGCACTGTATAGCTGAGTGCTTGGATGCAGGCCAAGGCCCAACCTCGCTAGCCCTAAGTCTCAATGGTGGTGGTTTCTGCTCAGTGTGGTGACTCTTGTGTAGTCATGAGATTCAGCCATCTGGGCAAGTCTCACAAACATCGTGAAGCCAGATACAGAACATTCAAATCTACTGAGTGAAATTTAGATAAAATACCAAAAAAAAAAAAAAAAACCTACACTGCTAGAAATCAGAATGGCATTTCTTTATGGTTTGTGTGGGTGGAAAATGGCTGGAATGGGCACAAGGAAGTTCTGGGGTACTGACAATGTTCTGTTTATCTGTTTATGGATTTTGGGGATGTGTATTTACTTCTAGACTGTCCTGTTAGTAATATGATATTTCAATAAAATGTTAAAAAAAATTAAAAACAAGTCAGACATGGTAATAGACAGAATGATGCCTTTTGTTACTCTCAGCATAAGATAAAGAGTAAAACCAATGTCTAAGTGATTTGGTGGTGGGTGCAGTGGGTACTGATAGCTGAGTGGGAGGGGGTCCTATACTTCCAAAATTCCGATAATAGAAACCAGTGTCACCTCAAATAAATAAAGAAGCAAATGATAGGACAGGGTAAAAGACAGTGTATGTAAGTAGAATAGAGTGCAAGCTTCGGAGGCAAATTCAGTATGAATTCTAATTCACCGTGAAAATTATTTTTGTCTCTCTCAGTATGTTGCTTTCTTTCTTGCTTAGCCTGAATTTCCTCATTAGTAAAATAAAATTAGTACTCACCTTGCATTGAAGATTTTTTGAGGATTAATAAAATAGTGTATTAGAAACACCCAGCATAAAGATTGAGTCATAAGATTTGGGGTGAGGAGAACAGCCATTTCTAGATTCTTCCTGTAAATATTTATAGATAGTCTTAGAAAACTATAAGAATTATTTAACCTGAGCTTAAATTATGTTGAGATAAGTCTTAGAGATACTTTGCATACTTTAACTGTTTAAAAATTATGTCATATAATATTTTACTACTTTTTAGAAAACAAAATTTATTTTATCTACACATGTTATTTTTTACAATAATCTATTTAAAGAGGAATTTTTAATGCATTATTAAATGAATTGTTTCCAGTTGTGAAAACAACTGGAATACTGAACTGATGAATTCAGTATTTGGTTTTGGTTTTGGTTTAACCTGTGAAAGTTTGAAATAACAATGAAGTGGGGGAGGAGGTCGTTAATTTATATAAGACCTCTAGATAGACAGTTCAGGATATAAAACTCGTTGAGATCTGTGTTCTTGAACTTAAACTCTCACCAACTATATTACCAGCATGCAAAAATATGATAAAAGTTTGCAACATTATGGTGATTTCACTACATTTGTTGCTAACATTTTAACTGTCAATTTCTTATTAGTTCAATTCTTTCATCTCCGTCATAAAAGAGATGCTTAGTAGATTGGAGTCTGAGCATAAGACCAAACTGGAGCAGCTTCATATAATGCAAGAACAACAGAAGTAAGTAGGTTGAATACAATTTGTACTTTCTCTAACAGTAAAATTGAAGTTACCTCCTGATATGTTTTCTGTAATATGAACTAGAAATATTGTTAGATTTTAATTTGGCCATATGTAAAACATTTAAAATTTTTACAACATAAGTTGCACTGAGTGTTGCTGGAAATCTGATATCACTTTTAAGTACAGAATTGAACCATAAATCTTAGCAGTTTCCCTACATAACAAATACTGCTTTTGAGAAAAAGCTCTTATCAGCATTAGTAAATCAGAATTGCAATCTCATGTTGTTGATCATCAAGGGCAACAAAATTATTTATCAAATCTCTGAAACCCTAGTGTTTTGATTTTTCTTTTTTTTTTTTTTAAGATTTATTTATTTATGCATACAGAACTGAGGTTTAGGCCAGGGATGTAGAGGCGGTGAGAGGATTCACCAGAGACAGAGTGGGAACAAAATAGGCAGATTGACAAAGTACACTGCTGAAGGGAGCAGTGGGCCATGCCATGTGGGTCAGCTCCCTGGCTGGCAATCCAACTATTGCTGAAGCAGCAGCCGCTAGCTTTGTAGTGCTGTGCTATGCCCCATTTTGCCACCAGGGAGGGCCCTATTTGATTTCTTCCTTCTCTTTTCTCTACCCCAGGAACATTTATAGAGCAAACATCCATGTAAATGTTTCTAAATTACTTGCAAAATACTGGTATTCATAGAAAGAAGGGAAATGCGAAAGTTGTTTATTGGAGAATGCTGGTTTATATAGCTTAAATTTCCACTATATCTATCCCAGAGCTCAATACATGATTTTAAGATAATTAGCTACAATTCTGTCCTGAGCCCAAATGTTTCTGGAAATCAGTGAAATTGATATTAGTCATAATCAACACCAAATAGAAACTCTGGCTTTTGCTCTGGTAACATGAATGTTTATGGAAATAAATATATATGGTATAGATGCAGTGACAATAGTCCTTTGTATGCTAAGTATTTTGTAACATACATACATTTGTGACCTTTGGTGAATATTAACATAGTCATGCTGTGTAAATTTCAAGTGTTGAAGTTTAAAAAATAAAGGGCATAATAAAGGTTAATGTTGGGGACAGACATCAATAATAGAAAAAGTGAAAAATATTTTGACTAATGAAAGAATGAAGTTGCAGATTTAGTTCAAATAAATTCCATGTCAATGAACTATTTTTAGCATGAGTATTTAAAAATACACATCTTTTTATTGCTTTGTAATAATTAAATTCTTTTTCAGGTCTTTGGACATAGGAAATCAAGTGAATGCTTCTGAAGAGACAAAAGTGACAAATATGGGGTCTCAGGTAAAAAGCCATTTAGATTATTTTGATTTTGTTTAACATTTGTGTTTCATGAAGCAGTTGATTATTTTAAATATATATATATATATTTTTAAAGATTTATTTATTTGTGCGTACAGAACTGGGGTATAGGCCAGAGACTCAGGGGTGGTGAAAGACTTCACCAGAGACGGAGTGGGGCACAGAACAGGCAGATTGACAAAGTACACTGCTGAGGGGAGCAGCGGGCGGGTCAGGAGAGGTCTGCCACGCCATGTGGTCACCTCCGGGGCAGGCGGGGATCGAACTCATGCGGAAGTGGTTTCAGCTTCTTGGTGCAGTGCTTTAACCCCCTGCACCACCAGGGAGGGCTGAAGCAGTTGATTTTTAAGTAGTAAAGTCCTGTTTTTATTGACCTCTAGTCAAATGATGGCTATTTTTCTTTTTCAGCAGATTGACAAAGTCTTTAACAGCCTTGGAGCAGATTTTCTGACTGGTGGTGAATCAGAAAGTAAAGATGATGGATCACATAAACATAAAAGAGTAAGTTTCTTGGCTGTTCTTCTAGTACGCTTGATTATATTATAGGACTTCTTATGAGCCACAGATTTTTGTTGGAAAATACTGTTAAGCATCTGAACAAAAACTCTATGAAATTTAAAAACTCCCAGTGGTATAGAACTTGGTCCATGTTGAGAATAAACACACTAAGATTTACTTATTACTGTATTGCTGACCTGTGGTAACATAGAGTGCCCAACTCCCTGCTCCTGTCCCAATCAGCCATGGCCTTCAGTAAGTTCCATGATTTGCCTTTTCTGCTTACTTCCCATCTGTTGGCATCCACTGGAGATGCGTACTGTACTTTACCTTAGGTTTGCCTTCATTGTTCTCATCTCTCCTACTAGCTACAGGTTATACAAATTTTTAGTTCAGTTTCTTCTCAAATTCACTTTGAACCCGGCCTTCTCTGGTGGCGCAGCGGGTTAAAGCACAGCATTAAGAAACTTAAGCCGATTCTGCATGAGTTCGATCCCTGCCTGCCCCAGAGGAGATCACATGGCGAGGCAGACCTCTCATGACCCGCCCACTGCTCCCCTCAGCAGTGTACTTCTTTGATCTGCCTGTTCTGCTCCCCACTCTGTCTCTGGTGAACCCTCTCATCCCCCAATCTCTGACCTGTACCCCAGTTCTGTATGAATAAATAAATCTTAAAAAAAAAAAAATTCACTTTGAACCCAACGTTCTCCAATCTCAGGCCCGCTTTTATTCCACGATGAAAACTTGAACTTTTTATGGTCTATCCCCTTTCACCTTGATATTTTTTTAAGAATACCCACACTTGTTTTTGTAAACTGATCCACAATTTGGATTTATCTCGTATTTTCTCACAGATAGATATAAGTTGTGCCTTTTTGCAAGTGTGCTGTGGAACTGATGATGAACCCTTCCTGTTTGATCATGTCAGGGATACATGATGTCAGCCTGACTTCTTACTGGTTAACTAACAGTGTTTTAAAAATCTGAGAACATGTTTATCTTCTGTTTCCTGTTAAAATTTTGAGCGCTCTCTGATTTTGCATAATTTGTAAATTACTTTCCAATTGAAATATTGATTATTCAATATTCAATGTTAAAAAATAAGTTGAAGAAAAAAAACACATATCAGATGGTCTAACATGTGGAAGATACAGAAACATACATAAGGGTCAATCAAACCTAAACCAGCAATAAACAACTTAACATCTGACTGCAAACTGAAGCAAGCAGAAGGGAAGGTGAGGTAGGAGTAGGGAGAAAGGGACTCAATGAAACATGTAGGATTATTGGGGTGCTAGTTGTGGGCTTGTTTTGAAAATATACATTTTGTTAAAGATTTATTTATTTATGCATATAAAAACTGGGGTTGAGGCCAGAGGTGGAGGGGGTGAGAGGATTCACTAGAGACAGAGAGGGGAGCAGAATGGGCAGCTCTCCTGAAATACACTGTTGAGAGGAGCAGTGGGCAGAACAGGAGAGGTGTGCTGCAGCATGTGGGTAACTCCCTTTCCGGGGAATCGAGCTCGTACTGTAGTGACTAGGCTGAGACTTTAACCCCTGCGCCATCATGGAAGCCCTGAAAATATATATTTGTAGAGACTTATACCTATAATTCCCAAAGATACAGGTAAACGAGTTTTACCACAGTCAACATAATTTGGAGAAAAAGAACCAGTTTAGAATTTCTGCTGAGGGCAATTTTCTCCTGTTCATTCAACATAGGGGAGTAGTTTTATGAGTAAGACCATGGACTTGCCGGGCATTGTGACTTACAAAACTGTAAGAGAATATACCCCAGGAAGTCCTAATTCAGTATGATTAAGAAAAGAAAACGACCAATGTCAAATTCTATGCAACCATTAGGATTAAAACCAGCTATTTGTTTACTTCTGGTTTAACTTTTTGGTGAATTCATAAAGTAATTTTGGTTTTTGATATTTAGAGCTCAGCAAGCTCTCCCAGCTTTCTAAGTTAAAATCACCAATCATAGTCTTATTGTCTGGGAAAAGATGTTTCTAAGAAGTGGTTTTAAAACAGTAACTTTTCATGCTGGAAATACTTTAGTACAGATTCTGTGAGTTTCTACATAAAGTTAAATCGTGTAATAATGTGAAATACAGCTTGCCTATGGCAGTCACTAACATAGGAGTTTGCATCCTATGCATCCTACTTGCCACATATACCAAAACATATTTGCAAATGAGGAATCTTCTGTCTTACAGGTGTCATTGTAAGGTTGACAGTTGTTTTTTGTTTGTTTGTCTTATTTAAAGGTACCACTGACACTTGAAGAAAAACAGAAATTAGCAAAAGAACAGGAGCAGGCACAGAAGTTGAAAAGCCAGCAGCCCCTTAAGCCCCAAGTACATACACCTGTTGCTCCAGTTAAACAGGTCAGAATTTATTTCTTTTGTGTGATTTCAAGAATACTATTCTGAATGAGAAAGATATCATGACATGTAGCCTACCTACTGATGTCTGTTTCAAAGAATATTGTATAAGTAGTTTCTAAGAAGTAAAAGCATAAAGAACTTTCTAACAACTCCTCAAGAGCCTGCCTGATGTATAGTGTTTCATGATGGTGCTTATTATCATTAAAGAGGATGTCAGATGACTAGGGGAGAGTCTTTAAACAGAAGCTCTTAGGGTACTACTTCAGTGCTGTTTACTTGGCATTGACAAGGAATATTATATTCATGCTCTTGTTTTTGAGCTAAAAGTAACCTTCAATTTTTGACTTTTCAGTTATACTCAGATTTGTACTTGAGTGAGGAAGACAGCTTATGTGGCCTGAGCAGTATTTTTCCTGCTATGTTCCAGGCCCTGTTCCTAGGTGCTGCTGGTGCTACAGCACTGGTTAAGGTCCTTGCTTGTTGTTATTTTATACTTCTATTGGTTTAGAAATAACTTTATCTCAGAATTCCTTGAATTATATTTTTGTTAACTCTTATTCACTGAAATTATTCCTCTAAAAAATCTTTGTGGGACAAGAGGCAAAATCTTACGTTAGAGCAGAGAAAACAGATTTCCACAAAATTTTGATGACGTTCAAAATATAAAAATTTTAACAGTATTCTTCTTTGATCATACTTAGTGAAATAAGCCAGAAAGAAAAAGAAAAATACAGGATGGTTTCACTCATAGCAGGAGTATCAGGGATCGGAGGGGAGGGGAGAACATATATATATAAATATGTATGTATGTATGTAAAAATTGTAATAAAGTAAAAAAGAACATCAACTAACAACTCTAAACCAGAGACATTCTGTGGGGGAGGAGAGGTGCAGAGAGCACACGGAACCACAGTGGTGGCACAGGGGTGAAGTGGTGGTGGGAAGTCCACAGGGATTACAACTGAGATGGAAAATGTACAAAATGAAGAATTGTGTGATGTTAAAAATAAAATAAAGGAAAAAAAAATATTTTTCTTGTAATGCTGATCTACTAATTAGATTCTTTTATGGGAAAGAAACATTTCTTTTAAATACAGTTCAAAGTGTTTCCTTATTGTCAAGTTGATTGCGAATGTTTATCTGTAAAAACCATTCATAACAAGGTGGAAGCTTAGATTTGGCTTGTGGACCATGGTTTGCTGACCTAGTAGTACAGATTGCTGACCTTAATTTTAGTTTTTCCCTTGTAATATAATCTAGGAAATGTTTACTAATTATAAAGTAATTTGGCATTCTTAATGATAACATAATTCCCTCATATTTTTCAGACTAAGGACTTGACAGACACATTGATGGATAATAACATGTCATCTTTGACCAGCCTTTCTGTTTCTACCCCTAAAATGTCTGCTTCAAGTAACTTCACATCTGTTCCTTCCATGGGCCTTGGCATGATGTTTTCTACACCAATTGATAATACAAAAAGAAATTTGACAAATGGCCTGAATGCTAACGTGGGCTTTCAGACTTCAGGGTTCAACATGCCAGTTAATACAAACCAGAACTTCTTCAGTAGTCCAAGCACATCAGGATTGGCCAAGATGCCCCTGGGAACACCTTCTACTTTGCCAAACTTCAATGCAATGAGTGTTCCTGGTTCAAATGTTGCTGGTGCAAAGCAGGTTCAACAAAGACCTACTGATATGTCTGCCCTTAATGATCTCTTTGGCCCGCAGAAACCCAAAGTCAGCATGAATCAGTTATCACAACAGAAACCCAATCAGTGGCTTAATCAGTTTGTACCTCCTCAAGGGTCTCCAGGCACAGGCAGCACAGTAATGGGAGCACAGATGAACATGCTAGGACAACCGGCCTTTGGTGTGCAGGCCAATCCATTCTTTAATCCGCAGAACTTTGCACAGCCACCAACCACCATGACCAGTAACAGTGCAGCTAGTAATGATTTAAAAGATCTTTTTGGGTGAGGTGTCTTGCTCCTGTTTTCAAAGGATTCTCAGTTTTAATCATGAGTGAGGTGATTTACATGTTTATCTTGTTGGCTTGATGGAACTACTACTTGGGAAAGTGAGTGGTTCTTTGACAGAAAACACCTGTTCCCATGCCAGCACTGTAGTTGTATGGACTCCTAGCAGTTGAGTTTTTTTTTTTAAAGCATTGAGGATTTTTTTCCTCCTGTCATCTTGTCTTCAGGTTTTTAAAAAAAGACCCAGTCCTTAACAGTCAAAGAGGAAAAAAGGCACCTAGTATCTTGAATAGCAGACTTTTTAAAAATTAGGTGTTTATTTTGACTTGTACATCTTGGTGTTATTTAAAAAATTGAGTCCATGATAATTGCAAGTTGCATCTATCAAAGTCTACATGGTACAGAGTCTGCCTACGCAAGTCATCAGTCTTCATTTTTAATGTGAAAAATATTGATGCTGTATTGATTTGTTTGTATTTAGTATGACTGAGGGAGGAAATGATAAGCATAATGAAAAGGACCAGGTCATTTGCTTTTTCCAATCTTATTTTCTTCTCAGATGAACTTATGTTTAGTACAAAGGACAACCAATACTGCAAAATTTAACTTAACCTGGATTTCATTAGTTCCAGCTAACGGGCGTTATTAACCATCTTAAAATGCAAACTGATCATTGTAAATTATATTTTAGCATGGTCTGCCTCCAAATAGTAACGTATTTTTCTGTATTTACTTGGATATATTCAGAATCACTTTTTCCTACTGTGTCACAGACAGAAGAGGTGTGTACTGATTTGTACAGATATTTGACAGAGCCCCTGTGTGATTTCCCTGGCCAATGCCTTCATCTTTCAGTTTGACTTTAATTTCTGAGGTTGCAGCATACATGAATTGCGTTTTCAAAGGGGGATTTGTATAATTACACTATATTTAATGAGTAAACTTTTGAAATTTCTGCTGTATTGTTTAAAATGTAATAAACTTTACTTCTCTAAAAACGAGCAGTTGTATCTTCTGGCTACCAACTGATTAATTTTCAGCTTGTCATGACCTCATCAGTTACCACCACTGAAGCTTAATTTTTGAAGAATTCCAGAAACATTTCCTTCAAATATTTTAATGTCTATAATTAGCCATTTTTAGAAAGGAATAATAAATTCTAAGATGAAACACTTTACTTTTCAAAGCCCTTCTCTCACATTTTTTAATTTGCTGATTAATCAACCACAGAGCCTTATGCTATAAATGTCATTTGTATTTTGTTAAATTATATGCCATCATTTTGTGATAACTTTAAAACCATCTTTCAGAGTGTGTATGTATTATCATTGCTGCCTTAGATAGCTTGTGGTTTTTAATTATCTGAAACCAGCAGTCATTTAAAATAAATCATATAAGGTTTAGTGTGCTGGTATTAAGTTAATTCATTGAAAAATATATATACACACAGTGTATATGTTGAGTATACAGTACTTGATTATAAGATGTAATTTGGCAATATTACTGGTGGTATTAAGAGGGTATTTTAAAAAATAAAAATTCAGCTTTACCTCTGCTTTCTGTATGAGCTGTTACTTATTACATGGTTTTAGAGAAAGGACTCAGAGAACCTGAAGAAGCTTATCTAAGGGATGAAAGCACTAGGAAGATCAAAATGTTTTATCAAATACATTCACATCTTGACCAAATTATTTGTCTTGTCTGTAACACAACATTAATATTATGCTTGAGAAAGTTTACATATGTAATAAAAATTTTTAATGTCAACAAATTTTTCTTTTTAACAATTCAGTCATAACTTTATTAGGAAATTGCCTTTTTATTTTGCAAAATTAATGCTATTATTAAACTCTGAATTAAAAAGCATCTATTACAACTTACATAATTTAAACTTCTAAATATAAAAATAGATCATTTGAAAAATGTACCTTTTAAATCTCACATCTTGACAATTTCTCATTCACTGAGGTAATGGTGCTGCATTTTACAAATATTTTCCTACCCATTTTTCTTTCCTGAAGATATTTATCTCCATCAATTGAACTGTTACCGTTGCCCTTTTCTGTTGGAAAATTGCTCCTGTAAAATAATCACTGCTATCTCTAAGCTGTTGTTTCTATGAACAAAATTTTCAAAGTATTAGATCATCTTAAAATTATTTAAGAATGAACAGCATTTAAAATCCCCTATGCTTAGAGTAGAAAACTGTTAGTGCTTACAGACAAATATTCCAAGAAAAATTTCCTTTTAATCTTGAAATGATTCTTTATATTTTCCTTATGCTGAAGTATGTGACATATGTAGAGGATATATATAAAAGGAAATGGAATAGACTATGTACTTGGCTGAGCTTTTGGTTTTATTTTGGAATATGTACATAACCCTTTTTACCTTAATAAGGAGTAGACTTTTGTTGTTTTTTTAAAACTGTAAAATATTTTTTTTAAACACATTACAGTATATGTGAAACTACCTGGCAGCAAGCAGATGATGCACCCAATAAAATTTAGCTTTGATAAAACTTGTCCTATTAAATTGTGATTTCATATCAAGTTGTGATTTACTGGTCTGGAACTTAGAACAAAAGGAATCTATAAGAATTCATAATTTATAGAATTTTAAAAGATTAGTGGTGTCAACTTTTAACTGACACACAAACATAATCTTAGACTAAAGCAGTCTGTAAAATATGTAAAACCAGCTTCAGACAATATCTTTGGTTTAGGTAATGGACTCTGGTTGTTTTGTTGTGTGTGTTTTTTATTTTATTAATTAGAAAAATTATAATCCCTAAAAGGATTTCACAATGTAGTTTGAATAAAGCTAACATAATTCAACACTGTTTTTTCCCCCAAGATGTCAAAAGAGAAGGTCAGAGACTTATATGGTGTAAATCAAGAAAGAGCCAAGAATAGAAGCTTTTTCTTTTTTAATAATCTCCAACCTGATTCTCTACACCATGTTGAGTCTTTATTCTTATCATGTGGATTTTTCTGGAGTGGCTTTATTGAAACTTTTATGTAGCAAGTATGTGTTCATAGTTAAGTATTAGATACCATAACATTTAGATTGGAGAAATTGGCATTGAGGAAAGGATAATAACCTATCAGATGTTGTAGTCAAAAGCAGGTGCTGCTTTGAATTGTGGGTGAGGAAGCCTGGGGGGTTAGGAGGGGGGAGGCGGAGAGTGGTGTTAGCAGTGTTTGCTGCAGCCACAAGTAGAATTGAAACACATAAACTTGGGTGTAGTGGGAAAAGCTGTTTTGCCAAAGTGGAGCTTGTTGGATATTAGAAACTTCTAAGTAGCCAAGTTGTTCCAGCCACAGGGAGGGGTGCAAGCCACCTATGTCATTTAAATTTTCTAGTTACCACATGAAAACTAAAACAGGTAAAATTAAATTTAATAATATATTTAACTTAGCAGAGCCAAAATATTTCAACATGGAATTGATATTAAAATATCAACAAGATACTTCCCATTCATTTTTCATCTTTGAGATCCAGTATTTATTTTTATGCATCACATCTCAATTTAGGATACTCATATTTCATGTAATCAGTAGCCACCTTTGACTAGTAAGTAGCTACTGCCTCATAGTGTATTTCATAGTGTCTGTGTATATGGAAGCTATGTGGCTTCATTTGCTATTATCAACCTATTGTCTCCCAGCTCCTAACTGCTCCTCCCTGCCTAGCCTGGTTTCATTGGATCTAGGCTCACCAACAGAGGGCCCTGAAGTGGTGTTGCAAAGCAACAGCAGCAGGGACACACTTTCCATTTGAGTTCTGGGTCTCCTTGTTAGCAAGGGGCCTGGCATCCCCCCACAGAGGAGCTCTCGCTGTGCTCCCCTCACAATGCCCCTTGGAGCAGCCCCAGTGAACTGTTTTCTGTGGAAGTTGGCCACGAGGTGATCTGGGACAGGTTTCTTCTGCATTGGCAGGTTGAATTGTTTTTGTGGGAGCTGTCCCTTCCAAAGAAGCTTGGAGGGCTTGGGGTGGGGGAGGAGAGCCTTTCTATTTAGTTCTACTAGAGCTAAATAGATGCTATTTATTGATTTTTTTTCACATCTCAGCCTAGAGGGATTAACTACATTTTTTTGCACTTGCTACAAACTACTTGGAGTCCTCTTTTACCCCTTTAAGATAGTTTGCCACATTCTACTAGTGCACAATGAACTTATCAAAATCCCCCTGCTCATATTGCTGGTGTGTTTTGTCTCCTGATCCCACCCTCACTGATAGACTCCTAAATCTATAAGCCTTTATGTAACTGGGGCCACATGACATATTTATGCTGTTGGCAAAAACCACATGGGATGATAATATTTTGCTTAGATTACAACTGTACAAGGTTCTTGCAAAATGTGTATATGGTAGAAGTGGGACTTAGCTACAGCTACTTTATACCAATTTGATGCTGTTCCAATTTTTCTCTATTTTTCTTTCTACTTTTTGGATACATTCTTTTGGGTGGTGGTCTAGATTGCTAGGAAAGCCAGGAATTGAACTTCATGCCAAAGTAAGTCAGAGGGAGACTTTAATGTCTACAGTTTGAACACAAGAATCACCATCTTGCAAATCTCCAAGTCTATGGCTTTAAGCCTGTTAGTCTTTCGAAACTCAGTGATCAAATAAAAGTCGTGGAACATTTCTTTGAGAACAGTAGGGAGAAACAGTGCATGGACTTTGGAGCCAGATAAAGTTGGGGGTTTTAGTAATTTCTGGGTTTAATTTCAGGCTAAAAGTGTAGTATGCATGCTTACAGGTAAGCAGAGATTGGTCAGGCTTTTAACGCCATTGGTGGCTCTGACCTGCAGCCTTGAATGTGCAAATGCTTGGAAGCGTGGGCTGGGGCACACACGGCTGATTCTGGACACCTGGAGTGTAGGGTGTGGGTGTGTATAAGTTGGGCACACCTGAGCCTCAAGGCTGCACAAGGAAACCCAGAGGAAGGAGCTATAGAGATTCTCAGGAAGCCCAAGTTGCTGTCTTTCCGCTGGCTTGTTTCTGCCTACTACTAAAAAACCTGTGGGGATGATGCCAAGGGCTCTGAGTTTCTCTTTCAAACTGCCTGAGCTGATGGTGAACCTGTGAAATGGATACAGAGCAATGCTCTATGGAGGTATAAATGCTTTACACGTTCGTTCATGTCTTGGGGCAGATCCAAACGTGTGTTTTGGAGCATCTTGTCTTCCACCATGTTGAAGGTCACTTATGTAAAGAGATGGAAAGAACTTTTCATGGAAGCAGGCTCCCAGTTAGACCGGTTCTGTTTCAGAAGGGGCGGCTTCTCTCCAAAGCTCTGAGCTTGCCCTCAATCAGCAATAGTATCTGTCCTCCAGGTCCGTCAGAGAACAACCTTTAACTGTCTATTGCCCTGCATAAGGAGTCTCATTTTTGAAAAATATTTGCAGAAGAGGCCAAAAATTGAGTAATTCATCCATTTTTCTAGGAATCCTGGACTAAATGAAGCTCACGATGGAGGCCATTGTGCCTGGCTGCCTTGTTCTGGCCACACTTTAAGTTCTTTTACCACACTTGGCTTGGGCTGTGCTGTGAACCTGAGTGCATGCCAAGGGTGATGCTGTTTCCCTCCAACATGAAAGAGCTTCTTTAAAGACCAACCTACAGGAGAAATTTCAGGTTCAGTTCAGAAGTAAATGTGCTGTAAGCCACTGATATATATATTGTCATTTGTAGTAGCTGAACAATGTCACTGATCACATTAACAGCTGAGAGATTCAGCAAGTGAATAGAACATAAGTAACTGCCTTGTTCTGTAGTTGAACTGGCTTGAACTGATTTTAAAACTTCTTAATTATCTGTGGCTCTGATTTCCTGTTTTCTTAAACATTTTGTATCACGGTCTTAGACATTTTCATTTTATGAATCACTGTATGGAGTGAATGACTTTAAATCTTATCTCTTTCACTAACTGACCGGGACAAAATTTTCCAGGTATAAAATAAAACTCAACTCTTTACAGGCAGCATATTACTAAATGAAGTAAAAGTGAGTGAAGCATGAGAAGGGTCCTGTTCATGGTAGGTCATGAGTAGGTCCTGAGTAGCAGAGGTCTCTAAAATGATAGCTATTTGAAGGAGGAACCGATAGATTCACAGGTGTTTAAGTGCATTTATTCTCCAAAAAGCAAGTCAGATATAGGTTATAGGTTTGGCACTGTGAGATTCTTGAGACCCAGATGGCAATGAGACAGAGGCTTTGCCCTCAGAGAATGCAGGCTAAAGTCAGAAAAGTAGCAGAGTCCTCTGAGGGTTACAAGACAGTGTGATACATGCTGTGTAAGTCTACAGCTGAGGGATAGCCATCCCACACCACGGGAGTCAGAAAGGTGCCTTCAGAGGAGATGGGATTGGAGTTCAGCCTTGCCTGGGACCTTATAAAAGCACTTTTGGGGGGCCTCCCTGGTGACACAGGGGTTAAAGTGTCAGTGTTACCAAACTATCAGCAGCCACTGCAGCAACAGTTCAACCCCTGGCCAGGGAGGTGACCCACATGGCACAGTAGACATCTCCTGTCTTGCCCACTGCTCTCTTCAGCTGTGTATTTAGTAGATCTGCCTGCTCTGCTCCCCACTCCCCACTCTGTCTCTGGTGAATCTTCTCATCCTCCGAACCTGTGCCCTACACCCCAGTTCTTATAGGCATAAATGCATAGAATAAATCTTTACAAAATAAAAGCTGTTTTCATTACTTAAGAATCACATTTTCCCAAATTAAGCTGGACAGCTTTGGGAGGG